TTAGAGCAGTTTTGGGCTTGGAATGGATAGCACATGCGTGGAGCGAGGTGGATGGACGTTTTAAAGATCAAAAGAAGATCAGGAATCAGCTAAAGAGAAGGAACATTATCCAAAACCTTATCCAGTCCTGTTTTATCTCAACCTTATCCAATCTTATCTTATCTAACATTATCCAAACTAATCTTATCATATCCTAATCCTATACTACCTTATTTCTAGCTGCATGGGGGAATTATTTTCACATTAGAACTCCTAATATCATAATTCTAGAAGCCTAAAAAGGTGTCGCACCACCCTCTCCTTATTCTCCCTGGTTTCTACCATGTAATTAGCCTTTTCCTTGTGGGATTGGAGTGTGTAATCCTTTTCCAACACAACCTTGCCGTGCCCCCTAGCCTTATAAATACCCACATCTGCCGCATAATTGAGAGAGGGACCTTAGAGAGAAATTCAGAGAAATTAAACACTTTGTGCCGCAACTTTGTAAGGAAAGAGAGCTTGGAGCCGTTCCTGCCATCCAAAGCCTTTGGGATTGCTGGAGCATTTCTAGGTGTATTCTATCTTTAGTTTTAGTCCAATATTTGTTTTAATTTGGTTTTCAGTTATGATGAACATGTGGAACTAATTTCGTTTAAGCTAGAGGTGAATTCAAAGTCATGAACATATGTGTGATATGAATTGATTACATCCAGTTATTGTTTCATAAATCGTGAATGCAATTTACTTATCTATTTGATTGATAACTTATTATTGTATGTTGATTAAGGAGGCCTACTTAGTTTGCATGCATGAATTTGATGCTAAAATATAAGGGAATTTCACCTAATAGTTATGAACTTATATTTATAAGTAGTGGAAATCACTAGTCATGATTGTGTTAAGTAAATTCCTGGCAGGAGTATTATGCTTTTCATAGTTACGAATGTCATGTCAATGCTTATGATTTTCATAGAACTTCATGATCTTTGATATGTATCTCTATCATACAGTTCATATAGGGAACTTGATAAGAATAATTTGATTGTGTCGCTGAGTCCAATTCAATGAATTTAGGAAAATCTGATGGTTAATTTGTGCAGTTCACGGTTAACTTGGGGCATTGTCATTCGTGGTTTATAGGAATACTAACTAGAAATCGATTTGTATGCATATGTGTCATGTGTGGAGAAAGACCCTCTAGCTAGCCTTTCACCACTTAAGTCACCTTAATTTCGTGCAACCTCTACTTAGTTCTGCAACTTATTAGTTTTAAGTAAATTTTCGTCCAAACAAACCCCCCTTTAATGTTTTGAGTCAATTTAGTTAGATTTTCGTCCAAATCACCCCTTACTGCTTGTTTTGAGTTATTTGAGTTAGTTTAGTTTGTTTTGAGTCAGTTTAGCTTAGTTTTATGTTTTTGAGTCTAATTAGTGTAGATTAGCATCCCTCATAATCCCCGGTCTAGAACGATCCCTACTTACGCATACTACAATTGTCTAAAAGAGGGTTTAAGTTTGTGTGCTATTTTATATCACATTAGCAAATGTTGCAGCTATTGCAGCTATTGCGAGAGCATTTCAAGCTAATGAGAGAGAAAGATAGCTACTTAGGCAAGAAAGGGAACAGGTTAGAGAAGAAAGAATGGCTCAACGAGATCGTGACATTATGAACACACATTTAGAAGGGAAGTCACCAAATTCTAAATATTTTTGGAAGTCGGAGAAAGCGGATGTGGTGCGAATGAGGCGTGCAAGAGAAGCGAGAGCAAGAGGAGATGGTCCTAACATGACAAGAGAAGATCATCCTAGCATCACAAATTGGTTAAGTGATGATGAATACAGTACTTTTTGTAATCGGAGCCCATAATTTTCCAATCACTTTGGGTTGTAATTTCTTATGTATTGAATAAAGTACTTTATGTTGTTTCCAATTTATTGATTTTAGTACTTTATTTAATTTGGTAATTTATTTATACTAAGAGAATCTTTATTCAAAAGACATTTAAACACACCAAATAAAATTACAAAAACATACCAAATAACAGAACACTCACTAAATGAACTAAAAGAAACTCACTGAAATTAAATAAACATACCAAATGAACTAAAAGAGACACACTAAATGAACTTAAGTATCTTGAGCTTGTTTCAATTCCCACTGGTGCTTTATCAAATCAATTTGTCGGGCATTATGCATATATGGCCTTTGAAGTGTAATATATCATTGAATTATCAATTCATTGTAACGTTCATCCCTTTCTAATGGCTCATGTTGCACAAGTTCTTCGGTGGCGTCATGAGCACAATATATACATGTTCTTGAATTGTTCATTGTGTCTGGCTTATATTCATCAACAGCATCATAATCGTACTCATCTTCCATAATCATGTTGTGAAGAATGATGCACATCATCATGATGGATTGAAATGACTCTACATCAAACAATCTAGCAACACCATTGACGATCGCACAACGAGCTTGGAGGATACCAAAACAACACTCCACATCCTTCATGCACCCCTCTTGACAGCTTACAAAGTGTTTTTCCTTTGCAGTTCGCGGACGTGACACTGTTTTGACAAATGTTGACCACCTTGGGTAAATACTGTCTGCTAGGTAGTATGGCCCGTCGTACATACGTCCGTTGATGTAGTACGTGACTTTTGGTGCCTTTCCTTGCAGGACATCGTTGAACATTGGGGATTGGGCAAAGACATTGAGGTCATTTTAAGCTTTCGGAACCCTGAAAAAGGCGTGCCAAATCCATGTATCAAAAGATGCCACCGCCTCCAAAATGATACTTTTTGCTCATTTTCTATCCCATAAGCGCCTTGCCATGCACTTGGACAGCTTTTCCATATCCAGTGCATACAATCAATGCTCCCAATCATCCCAGGAAAACCTCACATCTCGCATTTCTTCAGAAGCCTTTGCAAGTCCATGTCAGTAGGTTTCTGGAAGTACTCTGCGGTGTAGATAAATTCGATTGCTCCGCAAAACCTCATCAGGGACTGAAGAATGGTTGATTTCCCCATCCTCATTATCTCATCCACTTGATCTGCAGATGCTCCATATGCAAGCATCCGCAAGGCACCTGTAATTTTTTGCTGGGGAAGGAGACCCATAGCACCAAAAGCATCATTATTTTGCACAAAGTAAGAATCATGGTTGCAAACAGCAATCATGATTTTTTTGAATAAATGTCGTTCCATTCTAAATTGACGTCTAAAGTGTGTATCAAGGAATGCACTATTACGGACAAAATAATCGTCCAAGAGTTCCGCACCTTGTCGTTGCCTGCTTCTATCAAGGTTTCAGGAATGGCTGGGCCTACATATCTGACCCACAGCTTGGATGACTCGACGAGAATGTGAGGCCCTTGCCATTTTTGCTTCGTCATCTCTCTTTATACGCTCCTCATCCTCTTCCCTCTCATTTTGGGTCACCTGGAGATTGAACATTCCTTTTGATTAGTTAAACAATTCTTCCTCATGCTGATCGATTTCCCACATCATCCTTGAAGAAGAAGAAGACATTGTAAAAAAGAAGCAGAAACTATGAATAATGATAGAGATTTTGGTGAAAAAGGAAGTAGAAACTATGAATAATGATAGAGAACTTGAGAAAATTGGTGTGAGATTTGTGAGGATGGATGGTGGATTATATGGAGGATTCAGAAAGGATTAGGTTGTAGATAATGTCACGTGGCATGCCGTCATTCGTTAAAAATCTGATAGAAATCTATCCTCAAAGATTGTAAACAGATTAAGACACATGGCGCGACGTGATTGGTTAATAATCTTATCCGAAATCCATCACCAATAATGTATTTTCGGATAATGACACGTGGCACAACGAGTACGATTAAAAATTTTATCGGAAATCCATCACCAATAATTATCTTTTCGGATTTTATGACATTTGGCGCAATGAGAGCGATTAAAAATCTTATCCGAAATTACAAATAAAATTATTTTGTATTATTTTATAACTTTTCGGATAATGACACGTGATGCAACGAGAACGATTAAAAAATCTTATTCAAAATTACAAATAAAATTATTTTGTATTATTTTATAAATAAATAAAATGCTAATATTTTATTACCTATTGCCAGGACTATTGAAGTGCAACAGTGGAGATGCAAAAGGCGATCACTGTTCATTAAGGGCAGTTACTATTCACTGGGTGGATAGCATAGTGTATTGCCTAGGGGAAGGGTTCCCACGCTGTAACTGCTCTTAAGGGAAGAGGTTCTCATTTTTTTTTTATAAACATGGAGATTAATTGTGGAGTCCACACCACAGCGAACTTTAACAATCAGAACCATCTTAAAGTTGTACCTCATAAATCATCCTTGCAAAATATTAGCCAAATCAGAAATATTTAAGACATCTAATTGGGTTCAAAGAAATGAACGAATACCTAGTTATGCAAGAAACAATGAAATTTGATATTGATAATTAAATAGGCAAATGGTTTCGGATTGAATTGAATTTTTGCAAGAATGATCTATGAATCAAGACTTACAAAATAGACAGTTTGGATCGTTAAAATTCAATGTAGAGTGAACCCCACACCTAATCTCCATTTAAAAAAAAAAAAAAAGTAGAGATCATTTGCATAAAGGGCCTGTATACCATGAAGCACAAACCTTGCTTACTCATCTTTATCAATTTTTAATAACATATATTATTAATATATTAAGTCGAGTTGTATTTTGTGGTGTTGGAAGGAAAAGATGATATATGAATTCTTACTCTTAAACTCAATGTCATAGATTAATTGTTTATTTTGTTTTCTTACAATATTATTTGGTTCCTTGCTATATTTCTTTATTTATTTTTTACAAACCTCTTTCAATTTATCACGAATTTTACACTCAACTTAATTATGTTTTATTTCTTTCATCACTTGAAAACGTCTTGCGTTAGTTGTTTTAATTTCATTTTAATTGTCCAATTACCTCACTAAACAAATTAAAAATAGCTAATGTAAGACATCTTTAGGGGCGCTACGTGTTAGGGTTTCAATATTAGCCAATGACATTTCGTCTACCTTTTCTCTAATTTACATCTACATGCGATTGTTCATCAACTTCAATTATAAACTTGCACCCAAAATCTCATATTGTTTGACAATTGCATGAATAACAATCTCATATTGTTTGACGATTGCGTCAATAAAAGTATGTAGATATTATTGTTATGATGTGCGCACACGCATAATTTATGAAATAATTACTTTAAAAAAAATGTTTCTAACGCGTGTGCAGAGAGGCTAGTTATTATTGAGGCCGCCGCCACCACCAACTGCATCAAGTTTTATTCTAAGAATCATCCTCAGCTTATGAAGAAGATGTGAAACTTTTTACAACCGCAAAAAGATCCTTGTCAACAAACCCATGATAACCTCCTTCAACAAAATGCTCCACCACTTCGACCCCATTTTCTTTCAACATCTTCGCCACTTCCATCTGACGATCAATCAGTAAATCTCCATCGGATCCAGCCACCAAAACCCTGAATCCAGCCGCCTTCAATTGATCCAACCTCTCACTCAAACCATCCCCCACCATTGGATTGCTATACTCATGGTCACGGTCAACGCCCACGGGCAACGACAGTTCCCACATCAGATCGCTGCTACTCAGCGGCAACGTGGGGTTGTTCTCCAACCTTGACTCAGATCTGCTTCTCTGGGCCCCATTGAAGAACGGTTGATGCAATATCAACCCTCGGATCTTCAACCGGTGAAAATCGTCAGCTTCCGCAGCCGCACGAAGTCCCGCATGGTAGGCTATGTTGCCACCGGCGCTGCTGCCCATGAGGTAACAATTCCACAAGTCAGCATAGTCCCTTAGCCAGTGGTCTGGGGCTGTTTCGATAAAGTGCAGCGCTTCCACCGCATCCTCGTACGCAGCGGGCAGCCGGTGCTCCGGAGCCAGCCTGTACTCCACCGATGCGATGATCACGGGGACTTGGGTAGCCAAGTTTACGTAGAAGTTGTCCATTATGGTTGAGGCTGCGCTGAGCTGTATGAACCCGCCGCCGTGGAAGTACACCACGAGCGGTAGCTTGGCGGGCGGGGTTGCAGAGGAGTGGTCGAGCAGGTGGCGGGGCAGGAATATTCGGACCCAGGTGTTGTTTGATTGGTTGATGGGGACGTCTTTGGTGAAAATTGGGGTGGGAAGATTGGGATCGCAAGTGGCTGGGCTGCTGGGAAATTTGGTCAAGCGTGTGATTGTGCCGTCCGGATTGGATGCAAGTTTAAGGAACTTGTAGGGATCGGAATTATCGACGGTGGGATTGGACATAGTGGAAGCTGCCGTTTGTTCTGGCATTTCCTAACTTTGGGAAAATATTGGAGATGTGTGAGTGAGTGTATGTGTGAATGATTGAAGCCAAATCCTCAAGATGGAGCCTATTAAAAGAAAGTTGGTGGTCGAATTAAATATCATTCAGCTTCGCTTTCAAGCCTAGATTCCAACGTTGTTGAGACAAGGGCATTACGTGTGCGTTAATTTCACAACATTTAATAGTTAATACGAACAAAAATTAGGTAAGGTAGAGCCATTCTTTTACCCGCGTTTCTTTGAATTTTTTTACTGAAATTTTGACATTACCCATTGAAACTATATTTTCCTTAACTAAAATCCATCTCCTTTTCATTTTCATGACTAAAGTCCAATGATTGGGCTCCAACTAAGCAAATTTCTTAATTAAGTTTGACTTTTCAAATTGTGTACTTTCTAGATGCCTAAACTACCCCTAATAATACTTAGATGGAGGTTTTGGATTTGTCACTTGTTATATCCATTTAATTAATTAAATATATTTTACAAAATATTTCATGCAATTCATTGTATTCAATGTATTAACTTTCAAATTGTTGTAGGGTGCTGATTGAAAAATAATAATAATAGCAATTTCATGATTTGGTGCATTAAATATACAAGTTAATTTACCTACCATCATAGCAATAAACCTAAAACAGCTTCAGCTATTGCATACTAGTATTTGCCTACACACTTTGTGTGTATGAACATATTTTTTTAGAAAATGAAAAGGAGAGAAAGAGAGGGAGGGAGGGAGAACGTGGGGGGAGTGGGGGGGTTTTTTGTGGTTTTTTTTTTAATTTTAATTTTAAATATTAGAGATATTTTAACATCACCTATAGGTGAGGTTTAAATAAAAAAGCAGTAAAATTTGAATATGTGAAATTACATTATTGCACATCATTTTTTTTTGTGTGATAGAAGATTAAGTTGTTTTTTCACCCTCTTTTAGTTGACAAAAAGAGTTTTATTAATTAATAGAGATATATACTCCAATCCTAATGCACAAAACAAAGCTAACTATATGTTCTGCACAATTTTTACCTACAAAATAATCTAATTCACCTACATGATTTATGTGCATTAGATTACAAGTTTATTTAATTACCTACAAGCACAAACCCACAACATTCAATAATTATTTAATATCACTATTTTTTTTATTTGGAATACGTAAATTAATTTATATGTATGTATTTACATGATTCAAAAAAAAAAAAAAAAAACTTTTTTGATTAAAAAATAATTGACTGCATAAAGGAATTTTTTTTTTTTCATACGAAATATGCCTATTATTTTTTTGGATATGGGTAAATTAATTTATATATGTGACTAATATTTATGATACACGAAAGGGTAAAGTTTCATATGGGTTTAATTAGGGCGAGTAATAATATTTACTGACATACTTAGGATTTTGTGGCAAAATTGTAAATATGTTATAATAGTTGGTTATATATATTTGTCTACATGACAGTCTATTTTAAATTTGGATTTTATTTGTATGTTTAATATTAGGTGAGTTTTTGTTTAGATAATACAAATTTCAAGGGCCTTTTCCTTAAAAAACCCCTTTTTTTTATTATAAAAAATTATTAAAAGCTGAACAAGGCAGCCCCGAATACAACAATCTAAATACAAAAGCCAAAAGATAATTAAAAACAGAAAACCCAAAGCACATGCCCAACACACAACACCACAGAATGGAAAACCTTAAATATGGCGAGGAAGCTGATTTAGAACAATTTTGGGATGAATTTTATGAAGTACAGAAAATTAAAGCTTTTACTTTACAATTGACAAAATTGGGATTAATTATAGGAAGAAGAATTTTGTTGAAATTTTTGGGTTGCTTGAGAAGATTTCAAGAAAATATTATATTTGCCAAGTTTGTATTCAATTTCACATTTTATTTTAATTTTTGAATAAATAATCTTGGGATCTTATTTTCCTTATATGATTATTCAATTTAGTTTCTCTAAGACCGCTGAACTTCCCTACAACTGAGTTTAGGCTTATTTAAGCTTATTTTCTCTCTAAATTTGTGGATTTTAGCTTTTCGATCCTTGGGTTTACGTTTGTATTCCATTTATTACGCTCGTGCTGCATAAGGAACACAACAGCCATATCACCATTGTGGTAGCAAATTTCCGCCGCCCTTAGTGTTGACAAAAATGTACCTACAAAACAATTAACATCTTTGATCAAAGGCCAAAACCTCACGCACCCACGAGGAGTTGGGAGGGGAGTTGGGCAATGGATCTCCGATGCCTAAGTTACTTTTCCATGGCACAAGAAGGAGAGGTATGAACAATCATAGTCAGCTGCTTGGACATTTAGGGATGCTAAGCTACACATGAGATTATTTAGGAGCTCTGCCCATTTAATGAGGGCAATGTTATATTTCTTGAGTAAAAGTCTACGTGTCGCCTCCAGGATTTTTTGGATTATTTTTTGCTCTACAAATGCCCCCACACTTGCTGGGCTGCTCATAGGAAATGGTAGTAGATGTAGAAATTCCAAGATGCTTAGGCAGGCAGAGAGTTGTTTTCCAATTTGATGTACATCTTCTAATTTGACTTCGATATAAAGTTTTATAGGAAAGGGAAACCAATTGCCACCAAAACCTATTTAAGTCTGCCTTAAGCAGGGAGTTAAAAAAATTTGGAGATCAATTTTTATCCTTACAAGAAAGAGAGAAAGTCATAGGAAATTTATTCTCCCTTAGCCTTCTTTTTTGCTTGCCTTTGCAAAGAGTTGCTCATCATCTTCTTTCTTCTTCTCCGCGATAGGTTTGAAAATTCTCTTTGCGGGGGCCAAGGTAGTGGATTGGCATGGCTGGGAAGTCACGATGCTACAAAGAGAAGCTCAGGGTTGCTACAAGTGCAACGACAAGCTTGGGCACGGCTTGTCTCCCTCAAGCCTCAAAGGTGATAAGTATCATCTACCATTGTATCACCAGAGATGATCTTTCATTAAGGTGGGTTACTTCAAGGCTTCTCACGGCAAGATCAATTCCGACGAGCTGTTCAAGGACTTCCTTAAGGTGTACAAGTACGCAATTCCATCTAGAGTCCACTTGAGACAAGCAAAGCAAGGAGTAGCCATAAACCATGCAGTGGGACTACTAAGAGAGTCATCAGGTTCCATCCTTAGTACTTCGTGTTGCGGTTCAGTTTTCCCATCCCGCGCTTCTTCCAAAAGGTAATATTCTCCATAAAGTGCGCTCATTCCCATTATTTTCCAAATGCGGTAGGCATGATGATGGGTTCTTCAAGTTGAGTAGGTTTTTTAACTTAGACCTGATTATCGATGACACCTTGGGGATCACCAGAGAGTGGGAATCCGACTCCTTGCCTAAGCTACATATTTCGACTACTTTCATTTATGGTAAGTGAACTGTTTCGTCTTTGGGCTGTTTTATGCTTTTCTTGAGTTGCTGATGACTTTGATTTATTGAATGTCATCCCCTTCTTGTGTAGATTCAGAGTTTGGCTAAGACTTCGTCGGATTGAAGAAGGTGCATATTGCCCTGGGTCAGCCTGCTGAATATTGTGAATAACGCTAGTTGCTTAGTCCTCTTCATCGGGAGAAAAGTGGGATGCCTCTGAGAAAATAGATTAAGTGAATCAAGAAAGAGGCACTTGCTCGTTCGATCGTCGTTGTGGAGCCTGCTGCCAGTGGAGCTGCAAAGAAGAGATCTTCATCACCTACACGAGAGTCGTTTGTTGAGAAGAAGCAGAAAACTTCCTTTGCTGCCCATGAAAGCTCGCCTACTACGAAGAGGCTTGTCATTAGCTTGACTTCCCCCAAGGAGAATAATGAAACTTCTAAGTCTAAGCTGTGAAGCTTGCTGCTTTGAAGGTGGCTAGAACCATTACTGATAGAATTGTGCAGCGTGAGGGTTTTGTTGTGCCCCAATATCTGGGTCTGCTTCGAGACTTCCGTCTGGAGCTAAGTCTGGTTCGACTTTCAAAAGGCTTTCTGCGACGAAGAGCAGAAATATGCATTATGCTGCTAAAGTGGTGCCATGGCCTATTTTTTTCTACTACTATAACTATTTTGCCTGTTGAGAAGAAGAAGACTGCTCTCGTTGGCAGTTATGAGAAATTCCCCGAGTTTACTTCTGGAGAATTTTTCGAGATTTGTGTGCTACTAAAAGTTGACCTGCTTAAAGACCTTGATGCTTGAGCTAAGTTTGTTGATAACATCAGGAAAAGTGGTTTGCTCGAGTTTCTTTGCAAAACATCATGCCAACTTTAGAAGGAATTCTCTGCTTGCTACATTGCAGAAGACTTTAATCTTGGATGCCGAATCTATGCATGTCAACCAAGATGCTATTGAGGTTGCTAAGGAGGTTGAGGTGGTAATGACACCTCAAGCTTATTTGGCTGCTAAAAAAATGGAAAAGTTAGAATTTGAACTTATCATTTTGAAAGGGTCCGATGTCTTAGCCCCAAATTTTGTGCAATTGGAAGTCGTTTGCTAGGAAGTTGATAGCTTAAAGGCTAAAGAAGTTAGATTCATGAGACTATTCTATTTGGTATACATATCCTAAACGTTCTTAATTATAGGATTGCCAATTAGGCATTGACAGTCCGTTAAGATCAGTACGTGTTATGTCTTCTCCTAAGGAGATTGACTGGTCTTGAGTCATTGGTGTGACTGACATCAAGACAAGCATGTCGGTGCTCAATAGAGAATGAGTCAACTGGACACGATCAACAAGGAGTTCTCATACTCATGCCATATAAGAACTCATGGTTGGGATAATGCAAAGTAGTCATTTGACCTGAAGCATCATAGTTGTCTTTTGTTTAGGTCCTTGATCTTTGACTATATCAAAGTCATTCCGTCAGAGGGTGTCCACGGCATAGTTAGGGTTAAGCCATTTAACCATGGAGGCAAGTGAATGCACAACAAAGGAACTCTAACCCTCAAACTGTTTGAGGGAGAATGCTCTGGCCAGAGTACGAATGAGATTTAGGAAGTCGTTCCAAATCACATTCAAGGTAATCATATAAGTAAGAGAATCACATTGGATAGTAGACATGAATAAACTATCAAACCAAACAATGTGGTCAAGAGTATTGTATTAGAGAAAGATCATATTGCATTGTAATCCTAAACTGAATAGGTTCTCCAACTTTTCTGATTAGCTTGGGTAGCCATGACATATTGCTAGGTGTCACTCATGGTTTGTGGAAGCCCTAAAGGTGTAAGGGGGAATTGAAAGTAAGTTTCAATTCACAATCAATTTGAAGAGTTCTAATCGCCCACTGCCTCGCTAAAAGGAACCTAATAGATCATACACCATGTATGGTAGAGATTGAAGAAATAATGGAGATGAGTAAGGATAATTAAATGGTTTAATTACTTATGGTAAGGATTAATTAATATGATGATTAATCAAATGAATAAATTCGTTTTAGACCTCGGGTTAGTTTTGGGCCGCAAGGCCCAATGGGACTTGAATGTCAAGACCAATAACTCAAGTTGTATGACAACTTGAAAACACAAAGGGCTTGAAAACCCAGTAAACCCTTAAGGCCAGCCATATAGAGAAGGGTACTGAACTTGCCATAATTGCAAGTTTGCCACTCCATTGTGAGGTGATATAAAGGCAACTTTGTAGCCATTTCATCCTTAGGGTTTCTTTTAGAGAAAAGATGAGAACAAAAGCTCTCTTGACTCTCTAAGAAGCCGGCCACCGTAAAGGAACTTAGCTAGCAATCTTCCTTCCTCTAGGCCACTCATCTTCATCAATGCTCTCCTTGGTGTGGAAACTTAGAGATTCTCTATTTTGGGAACTTGGAGAATCCATTCATCCATCCTCCTCTAAGAAATCCATGGAGCTAAGAAGTAAGGAATGAAGGTCCTCTCTCTTGGGTGATTAGCCTTTGCTTATGCAAAGAGGAATTAACAAAGGTATAAGATTTCTCAACTCACTTTGTTTTGAGTTGAGTCTTGGTTCACCATAACTACTAGGCTTTGAATTTCATAGGTAAAGTTTTTTTTTTGAGTGCATACAAGCATGATTCCACCTTTTAATTGTTAATAGCATGCATAGATGTTGCTCATATGTACTAGTTTTCACAAATATTTCCTTCAAGTGGTATCAGAGCCTAGGTCTAGTAGTTGCTAAATCCTTTTGGGTTTTGTAGTTCATAGTCTTTGATTTGAATGTTGTAATGGTTACAAGCTTTATTCTGGCTTCTTTGAATCTAAATTTTTTTAGAAAATTTGCCATCTCAAATGTTGTAGATGTAGTTCATATGAGCATGAATTTTGGAGCTAAAATTTGGTGCCATGTTTATGGGGAAATTTGGCCAAATCAAATGGGTGGATTTTTGGGTTCAAGTTTGTGTTGTTAAAAGTGTTTTAAAGTGACTTTTTGAACCCCCTAAGTACCCTAGGATGTTAACCCCCTTTTGAGTAGTGAAAATTTGAGTTTTATTGAGTGAAAACATTCATGGAGCTCTTATGGGTTTTCGTGGATGTTCTTCAATGTTCTTGCGTTGTTCATAACCAAGAACATAAAGTTTTAGGTGTTTTGATTCAAAGTTTTTGGTTGTTTACATAAAGTCTTGTTTTTGTAATGGTTGGTGTGACTTGTCTATCAACAAGACATTTTTTTTGAAAAGGTGATCGAAAAGTTGAAAGTGTATTTGAAATTTTGTACATGATTGATACTTTTCTTACACACCTATACCTATATTTTAAAACATAATTGACTTTGTATTTTCATCAAAAACCAACCTATCACTCTTTACTACTCTCACCAAAACCGGCCACCCTACAAACAGGGTACTATTGGTCAAATGTTGTAAAAGAGCATAAGCTCTTCTTTACCTTGATGTACTCCTTTTCTTGTTTTATTTGATATGCATGAAATTGAAATAGTAGGGTCCAATGCCCAATAAGAAAACACGCCTTAAATGATTAAATGCGTAACTAAAATCAATCACCATCCCTAGACCGAGATCCAACACTAGGCTCGTGTTGGATCGAATCAAAGGTTCATAGTCATCCTAAGGCCCTAAGGCAACTATATAGTCCATCAATGAATGCAAAGCTTATGTTAGTAGTACCATATACTCTTGCTTTAAAAATCATTTTACAAGCATAGTGGGAATATCATATACTACTAAATCAATCATAAGGACCAATAGTTGTAATAGGACCAAATTGTTTTAATAAGATTAAAATGCATGCTGATATGTGATAAGACCTAAAACCCTCAACCAAACCATTATTAAGTTGACAAGCGTGAGAGTGCTTTGAACACTCTTTTGTGGCCTTCCGCCGTGGTAGACTCCAATTGTTTGTGACTCATACACCGACTCCACCCTATAATAGGGGAGTACAAAGTATATGTTTACACTCAGGAGGAATTCTATATACATACATGATGAAGTGAGGTTGGCAACGAGTTAAGTCAACATGACATAATTCTAAGGTTATGCTTGAACCCCTACACAAACTGGCACGGTGGGAATGACTTCACTAAGTGCAATGACACCAACATGATATAATTCTAAGGCATCATTCTCTAGAGGCCAAACTAGATGGGTACTTACATGAGATGTAAATGAGTAAGCGTACTCTCTCATTATTATTAATGTTAGCCAACATCATATAATTGTGAGGTGGGCTTGGTAATAGTGAGCCTCTCCTACCCTAATAAGAGTTTCCTCCAAAACTCTCGAATTCCGATGAGGGATATTAAATTTGCCAAAAATAGTGAGTGGTGCTATTTGATTTAAAAACTCAGATCAAATGGCTTAAAATCAATCAATTTATATTCGTTATATATTTGTTTACCGATATATTTGCAAACGCTATCCAAAACTTGACAAAGAAAAGCCGAAGGCTTTAGTTTCCGGACTTGGTACCATAATCCCATAGATTGTATTGATTTGATTGTAATGTACCTAAGTAGTCTCTTCCTCACAATCTTCTTATTGAAAATGTATCATTGGAAGAACATGTTAATGATCGTTACTCATTCTGAAGTGGAATGTTGTCTTTTCTGGATCATCGGTTTAATAGCGGGGTCAACGTGTAACTTGTGGCAGGCTATCTCGGGGTTGATTTCAAGCATGTTAAAAGGTGACTGTGTGAAAATCTACTTGGTATGACTTCCTCTTTTTTCCTTTTAGCTCAGACGTGAGCTTATTCTAGTTATCTTTTTCGTGAGTTTTTTTTCCTTCAAGGCCCAAACGTGAGCTGATTCTAGCTATCTTTTCCGTGAGTTCCACTTTTTCCTTCGGGGCTCAAACGTGAGCTGATTCTAGCTATCCTTATTTACTTCGGTTACTTCGACTAGGGTAAATGAACATTTTTTATAAAAACGATTTCAATCATTTAAAATAACTTTTCAAACGATTGTAACCCCCAATACATACACATACAAACAACGGGACTTAACTGAAACAAACAGAAAACCACGAGGACTTAATGGTAACAATGAAAAGCCCCAAATCCTAATTTCTCTCTATATTACAATGGGGGTTTGAGTCTTCACTAAAACCCTCCCTGCGCGTATCCTCTAGCTCCAGCTCTCATGGCGTTTGGCAATCTGCCTGCTATGAAATGAGCTTCTGGATTCGGCTTTTAGCTTCCCACTTGATTTACAGTTATCTCTTTAAATTACTTTTACCGTAGACCAATATTTTTACCAAACTGAAGAGAGAAGAAAAGCAAACCTAAATTTTCACCGGCGAACCAGTTAAAGGTAAATTCCATTTTTCTTTGCTGCTTGTTCGTAATTTCTGTTCATTTAATTTTTTTAATTTTTCGTTATTTTGCTTTATTAATTTTTTAGGAATTACTGTCGTGGATAAAATTGAGTGAACATAAATCAATTGGATTTTGGAACATCTATTTGTAAAAGTAGAAAGTTAGAGAGAAGAGGATTGTTTGCTCAATTTCTGAAAGTATGGAATTATCTAATTTCAAGATAAACACTTTTTCATAGAAGGATCAATACATAATACAAAGAAAGAAAAACGCAAAAATGTCGTGGTTAAGGTGTAATGAGGAGAATGGTAGGAAACTAGAGGGGTACAGATGCCGATTTCTGTATCGTAAAAATCTTTCCAAGTGTGCATCTTGTATTGCTACTGAGTTTAGTCCAACACCCTTTTGAGTCTTAAAGTCAGCATCATCATCCGTTACATTCTGTATATGTCGAAAATCGAAATGGAGGGGAGCTTTCAGTTGGGTTCTGTTGTATGTATGCTGTTTATATTTCATGTTCATTAAGTTTCCCCCGGCTAGGTGTTCTTGCTTTATTTTAATAAGCCTCCCTCGTATCATTGAGGTTACAGGAAAAAGGAATGTTATTGGATTCAGAATTAACTTGTTAGCTTGTGGTTGTTATGAATTTGATGTGCCTTATATAAACTTAACAGTGTAGGACATATGCATGAGTTTGGGCTCAGGTCAGTTATTGTTCTTAGTGCCTATTTGACGGCCATAAAATCTCATACTAGTTATTTACCATTAAACTTGTTTTCTCGCTAGTTTATTTTCTTTTATTGAAGAGTCTGATGGAAATTCCAAATTGTAAATTTTAGTCACTCAAGTTATCTAGCTTCATACAAAATCTCTATGTTTATGTCTTTTTTTTTTCTTTTTTTTTCTTTTTTTTTTTTAAATAGTTGGAGGATATTAATTTTTTCAGGGACAACAATGGGTTACCAATTAATCGAGTGGGAGCAAGGCTGGGACTATATACAGCAGGGGATCGCAAAGATGAACAGGATTGTACAAGGATCATCAGAACCTCAGTTCACCTCAGAAGAATATATGAAGCTTTACACAACTATCTATAACATGTCTATTCAACAACCTCCTCATAATTATTCTCGGCAGCTTTATGAAAAGTATCGGGAGACAATTGAGGAATACATTTCTTCAACAGTGCTTCCCTCTTTACAGGAGAAGCATCATGAGTTTATGTTGCAGGAGTTTGTCAGAAGTTGGGGAAATTATAAAGTTATGTTTAGGTGGCTGTCACACTTCTTTCGTTTTTCTGATGACCACTGCATCACTCGGAATCAGACATCACTTCCTGGGCCGAATGAAGTTGCACTTAATTGCTTCCGTAATTTGGTTTATCAGAAGGTAAATGCTGATGTGAGATATTATGTACTTGGCCTTATTGATAAAGAACGCGAAGGAGAGAAAATTGACAGAGCACTACTGAAGAATGTGATAAATATATATGTTGAAATTGGAATGGGAGAATTGGATGTGTATGAAAAGGACTTCGAAGAATACATGCTCATTCAGACTCGCGAGTACTATTGCCACAAAACATCAAGTTGGATTTTGGAGTACTCTTATACGGATTACATGTTGAAGGCAGAAGAATGCTTGAGAAGGGAGAGGGATAGAGTTTCTTATTACCTGCTTCCAAGCAGTGAGAAGAAGCTAATGGAGACAGTGAAACATTGGTTGGTAGTGATTCATGCAAATCAATTGATTGAGAAGAAACATTCTGAATCTGGATGTGCTTTGCTTACAATTGAAAATTTGGAGGAGCTTTCTGGGAGATTTATTGCTAGTGTGGCACTGGAACAGCAAGTTCCTGCTGAAGGTTCGACTATTGTTCAACAGGCTGAAGATGCTGCAATGATTGAGGAGTGAGATGAGTCGCACTACAACAATTGAACGATAAAAAATGGTAACAATGTGTAGTAATCATGAGTTTTACTTTTGGATATGCTGCGAATTATGTGCAGCTATTTTGAAATCCTTGAGATCGTTTGACCCACATTCTGATATGTCATATAATTAACTACCTTGGTGCCAATTGTGTCTTAGAACTGTTGCCCTTGTGGCATTAAAATGGATATATTTCTAACAATAGAACACATAGCTGATAAATTCGATGCCGTTAACTTATGTCTTAGCTTTGCAAACCTGTATTCAAGCATCAAGTTGTAGTTAAAACTAATTAAATTTCATCCAAGCGTCAACGTTTAGGTTAAACTTATGCTTAGTTTGTGTACTTGTTCAAGGATTTTGTATTTTACAGAGAACTGATTTATAATTAACTGGTTTGATGTGTACAATACAGGTCTCCTGCTGAATCTGCAGGGTTCTTTTTAAGCATCATCTGGCTATCAGAATTTATGTTACTGAGGCCTCGTTTGGTCTCTAGGATTGGGTTGAAATGTATAACCGCACTGGACTGAAGGTATGTTGAAGGACGAAATGAAAAAATTGTATTCAACTTGGAGGCAGAAGGTGGATTACTCATTGCCTCTACCTTTGTTGTATCTTGAATTTTATGAGTTATTCAATCCATTCCATTTCTAGGCACCAAACGAGCCCTAACTTTCTCACTGACCACTACTTCGACAACTACAAACCCTAATTTGTGAAATATTACAAATTCTGCAACAATATCTAGGGTATGCTTCCACAAGTCACAATCATTCTTCCCATAAAATTAATTTATTGACTACAAATTATACTCGATAATTATAACTTCGAAGGATGAAAGTCAACATGGTTTACAAGAGGAAGATAATGACTTGTGAGAATGATAATCAAGCGGTATTTTAAACTAATTTAATTAACGTGAAGGTAGCTTCAAATTTGCGTGCAAAATGAACCCTAAACCCTAAACCCGATTGCTCAAACTTACAAGACATCCAATTCTTTATATCCAATTCACATATGTTTCAAAGAATTCCCCAGATTAAGTGGATTTAGCTTCCTCTGCGTCCGAGTTCTATCGCGACTTCTTTGATGGTATAGTTAAAGGTAAAGTTCCATGTTGATCATTTACGTTGCGTTCGTTGCCTAACAATGTTTCCGTTACAGTTGGATGTAATATATTGAATATTTCCATTCACAACAATGGCAACCAAAATAATGGAGTGGGCTGAAGGATGGATCTATATGCAGCAGGGAGTTACAAAGCTAAAGAGGATTTTGGAAGGATTACCGGAGACTCAGTTCACACCTGAAGAGTATATGATGCTTTACACAACTCTCCATACATTGTGCATTCAAAAACCTCCTTACGATTATTCGCAGCAGCTTTATGAAGAGTATCGGGAGACATTTGATGAATACATTACTTCAACTGTTTTGCCCTCTCGAAGAGAGAAGCAGGATGACATTTTATTGCAGGAATGTGTCAAACGTTGGGAAAACAATAAAATTATGGTTAGGTGGCTTGCGCGCTTCTTTCATTATCTTGATTGCTACTTCATCGCTCGGAAGTCACTTCCTCCGCTACATCAAGTTGGGGTGAACTACTTACGTGATTTGCTTTACCAGGAGGTAAATGCGGATGTGAGAGTTGCTGTAATTGGTCTTGTTGGAAAAGAACGCGAGGCGGAGGAAATCAACAGAGAACTATTGAAGAATGTGATATATGTGTGTGTAGAAATTGGAATGGGAAAAATGGATCCTTATAGAGAGGACTTTGAAGAACACATGCTACGAGAAACTGGTGAATACTATTCTCGTAAAGCATCAAGTTGGATCACGGAGGACAGTTACCCGGATTACATGTCGAAAGTAGAGGAAAGCGTGAAAAGGGAGAAGTATCGAGTTTCTGATTACCTGCAATCGAGCAGTGAGAAGAAGCTGGTGGAAAAAGTGCAACATGAGTTGGTGGTGGTTTATGCAACTCTACTGTTCGAAAAGGAGCATTCTGCAGGTTCTTGATCTACTTCTTCGCCTCGAGATGATGATGTGGATGATTTAGACCTGGTTTGGTACTGAGGTGATTCTGAAAAAACCTTGTATAAAAAAAAGCTAGGAGCTGTTTTTTTTGTTTGGTAAACATTCAGCTTCAGCTTTTTTTCACAGTTTTGGATGAAAAAAAGCCAAAAACAAGAAGCTGCAAAACCCAACTTTGAAAAATTGGCTTTTTTTCACATCTGTTTTATTCTTGTGCTTTTTTGTGGCTTACTATGTGCAGTATTATGTATTGTCATTTTACTTGTTTGATCATGGTAAAGATTTGTGCTTATAACCAGTTTAACTCTTGGATTGCTGTAAATTATGTGGAACTCTTTCAATCAAAGGCATGAAAGTGAATAAAAGGGAAGATATTATGAAATTACACTTTGCACCCATCTTTCATCCGTTAACATCAAGTCAATGCTATTTCTTACACGGCACTTGATGAGTCTACGTTTTGCTTACTTGAACGTTAGAATGATACCGCATCAGTCATTATTTATTTTTATCTCTATCTCCAAGCTTGCGGTTTTCATCTAGCAAAAAAAAGAAAGTTCTTATTTGTTTTCCATGTGGCATTTGTTAATCAATTTGTCATCCACGTGACTCCATACAAGCAAAATATTGGCCAACTGGATGTCACATCTGAATACAATGTTAACTTGATGGTTACTAAGGTCATCTTCAACTCAAAGAACTAAATATAGTCATGTCTAGCATTGTAGCCCTACAAAAAATTATTTTTAAATAAACAGTGTTAAGCCATATTCATATATCGTGTCCAACCGAAGGGGCTAAACATAGCCTCCTCGATAATTTATTAGTTTTAACTTTATATTTTAAATTTATTGGTTAATTTAATTAAACTACCGTTGGATGCTTTCAAATCTAGCCGTTAAGTTTGAATCAATTATTGCAACTGAAGAGTTGAGTCACAGAAAAGTTGCGAAGAGGAGGGCTACATTTGGTTAGCTTAATGCTCATTTGGCCAAATAATAGTCTGGTGGGCTTCATAGAATTATAGCCCAGTCATCGATTGAAGATGAGTTTTTTGACAAATCAGACTACTTTTTTTGCTTTAGACCTTTAGTCCTCTTCATTGAAGATGACCTAAACTAATAGGTGACAATCTATCATAAATGAGAAGGAAAGTGGTAGGAAAACTGAAAAATCAACCCCAACAAACACTCATTGACCTAAAGTTTGTTTAAACTTACAAGTCACCCAATAATGCAATTAATCTGAGTTCTATAAGAAGCCTCATTGTCTGTGGGTGTTTCCAACTTGACCTAGTCTCCACGGTATCTTTTTATTTATTTATAATTATTATTTGGGTCAAGGTCTTCCACGGCGTCCACCTTAGCAGCTTGACTTTTTCATAGGCTTGGTCTTCCCAGTTTTTATGTTACCCTTGTTTCTATATATACATAATGCTCTGAGTGCAGAATTTCTCATTGCTAAGCTATGCATGCCTTCATCTTCTTCATCCTTTTCTCCACTGCCATCTTAATTGAAACACAAGCATCCACTGAAAACTGCACAACTACTAAGTGCTCTCATGGCGAACCCGATATTCGGTTTCCTTTCCAAGTAAGAGGCCGGCGTCCCCATCACTGTGGTCTACCCGGTTTTGACATCGACTGCAGCAACAACGCTTCCAAAATTCACTTCCCATCTTATGGTGAACTGGGCATCAAATCCATCTCGTACGATGCCAGAAGACTCGATCTTCTCGATCCCAAGGGTTGCGTCCATGAAGTCTTTCTTAATCTCAATCTTTCCCTTACCCCGTTTCGATATTACTATGTTCTGAAAGAGTACTCGTATCTCAATTGTTCGGTTACGCTTTCACCTTCTTTCTCTCAAGTTCCCTGCCTAAGTGGCTCCGGCTTTCATGTTTACACTGTGGAGCCTTCCATGGCTGTGCCAAACTTTTGCAGGGTTGTGAAAACTGTTCCCATTCCTTTCGAGTACAGTCCTTATCTTTCTGACAGTAGCTTCGGTCTTGGGTTAACTTGGGGCTCAGTTGGGAATCAAGAAACAGGATGTTTCACCATGGCACATGTTAAAGGTAAATTCCATTTTCCTTTAATTTCTTCTCCTTTCTTTTCTTTTTCTTCTACTTTTTTTCAGTCAATTTCTCTTCCTTTAAAATGCTTTATTTATATTATGGACGAAATTTAAAGTGCAAATAAGAAGAATATTGTTTTAACTTGTAAAACCAGATATACCAACCATAAGGTACTTTTCTCATAGGGAATATGTAACTATTTGTAGAGAAAAAAGTTATTAAATCTAACCAGGTTGATGCTATATAATATTACGGTCTAGTAATATTCCTCTTGACAATAAATAAGAGGTCTTAAGTTTGAATTTTGAGAATGATAAGTTCGCAACCAATTTATAGTGAATCAACTAAGATGACCCGTAATAGGTAAAGTAGCTTATAACTTGTGTGGATTATGTGTATACAAACTCTACGGTGAATAATAATAGGGGTGTACTATTTACACACCCTTATTTACTTCTCACACACCCTTTAGTAATTTATATCTTTTGATCGTCATCAATTGATTCGATCCGACAGTCAAAAATTAAGAGTGTGTGAAAAAGTAAAAAGCTGTGTGTGTATCACACCCCTAAATAGTAAATGGAATTATCTGAACAATAGATGACTTAAGACTTAAGTTTTAGGAAAACAAAACTCGAATTGAGATGTTTAAAGGGCAAAACAAAGAAAGCAAAGTGTGGGGCGGTAGGGACTCTGGGGAATAATCTAATAGAAGATTCCAAACTGTGGAGCTTTGTCCCTCACTTGGAAAGTTATTTCATATATTGTCAAGAAAATACTCCATCTCCAGCTTGTTACGTATTCCTTGGCTTTATGTGTTCAAATATAATTATCTTAAAGTGATTAGTCAATAAGTTAATTTTAATTTAATAAATAAACTAAGACTTAGAGCCGGCTAGTCAAACCAAAAAATTTTTCCATCCAATTGTTTAGCCCCCTCCAACTACCTTATCACGATATGTGTCATGTATTTAAAGAAATTGAGTTTCTTCTATAAAATCAATTGACAATATAAAAACTAACTTAATTACTCATAAACACATACGAGATCTCTCTTTTTTCCGATGTAAGATTAATACTGTCAACAATATTACTCTTTATTCCAATCTAAATTGCATGTGTAGGCGTGACTTCTACTTAGCCCTGAAGCTTAGGACTTCCAAGTACTTTAGACAATCAAAAGCGATGATTAAATAAACTTTTTAATACACTATATTGCATTTTTTTGGGTCATAAAAGCACTCCTTAGTGCTTTTTGGAGAAGCACTTAACATGTCCAGTATTTTTAGGAAAGGCACCAAACATATGTGTTTTTTCATGAAGCATTTGGATTCTTAGTAAAGATTTCAAAATGTATATAATAAAAGCGTACATAAGTAGAAGTGCCTCCTATAAAAGTTATTCTAGTGGGAGATATAGCCTCTCACACTTGTGGTTTTTTATGCGTGCAGTGGCGTGTATTGCCATTTTAATTTTGGTGCTGGCAGTGCTGGCAAGAATAAGCATGCATCGGTCCAACAAAACACAACGTCGGAGAGAAGGGGACGATCGAATTCAGGTTGAGAAACTACTCGGAGATTACAAAAGCCTTAAGCTTGAAAGGTGTGAAATAAGGCAACTCTACTCAGTCTGAAACAGTTTTGGTCGACATTAGAATCATGATGAAGCACCATAAAATGCAACTTATGAATGAAAAACTGTAACTTTTCAGATTTTTGATGCATCTTTTTTCACCTGTTTTAGTAGCAGTTTTTAATAATAATCCATGTTTGAAGCAGCGACCACATATTTGTACAGTTTGGGTAGTGGAATTATTTTTTTTTGGATGAAAATGATGATTTATATTTAATAAAATAAAGGATTACAACCGAGACAGAGAAAACTTAGCTCTTGAAAATTGGTCGAGCTAGACTACACACCATGACTTAGAGCAAATGGAAGGAGCCAAGCCCCCGATAGAACGGCCCCTATCCCCTTAAAAACGCGAACCAAAAAAAACACAATTTTTTCTTCAACCAACAAGAAAAAGAAAACCCAATTTGTAGTGTATAAATACGATTCATCTGACAATTACTTAGCGACCAATACAAGAAAAACAGGCTGTACATTTTCTATTAATGAACTTTTCCTTCATCGATTCAAAGCCAAACACAAAAGGTTTGACCCTCCTTAAGTCGACCAGTTTCTCTATATACTATGATGGAATTTAGAACGGCAGGAAATTGTCTTTTTATGTCAAGATCAACACTTTAATAATAATTTAATTATCAATATCCATATCATTTGGTTAATAAAATTTGGTTTTGAAATTTAGTTTCCCGAGCATTACCCATATTGAAAACATAAGCATTTAATCGCTATTCCGTTAATACTTAGGCACCTAATTAACCACTAATTTGAGTACTCAAGGTTCCAATGTTTTAAGCAAGAAACCAAGGACAATCATGATTCTACCTTAAAAATAAAAAACACTAGTGAAATTCCTAAATATGATATCAAGAAAGAATTATCCAGATTGGTTAACTTTTTTGCTCTTTCTTTCTGCATATAGCGCTCTAACTAAAGGAGAAGAAAATAGTGCCACATAATGGTTGTAAAACCACACTAATTAATTACTTAGCATTCCAATATTCCATATTCGAGCAGGGAAGAAATAAACGCGCGGAGTATGTAACAGTACTGACAGACACTACATCTGGTAGAGATTAAAAAGGTCAAGGTTGCTTTTCTGTCTTGTTTTGTGATGTCACCAAAGTAAAGTTAAACTCTGCCGGCCGGCTACTCATATCTCAACACGTCGACACAACCTTATCGGTGAGTAAATTACTACATGCACAATCAATCAGATGTGGAGTTTTATCATAAAAGACATCGGTGTTAGTTAAAGTGAAATGAAGATATTTACTTAGCTACTCAAAGATGAGTAGGAACTCCTACTCAAAATTTCTCAAAATTGTTCATTGTCAATTTATAAAACTTTATGTTTATAATTAAAACCGTTCATATTATAAATCACCATATAAAAATGGTCACTATAAAAAATTAATTAAAACTAAGGCCGTTTAGTCATCAAACTATTTAAAAATAAATGAGCGTTATTGGTAAAAGCATTATGAATCGTTTATATATTTGCTATAATAGATTGACTAAACGATTTTAGTTTTAATTTATTTTTTGCAGATATAATCTTTATAAAGTGATTCATAGTATGAACAGTTTTGATCATAAGCACAAAACTCCGCGATTAAAACACTAAGAATTTTGAGTATGGGTTCTTACTCATCTTTGAGTAGCCAAATTTTTTTTTTTTTTTTTTTTTTTTTGGCCTTTTTACTTTTTCCTTTTAACTTTCTTTTGGGGTTTTGAAAATAAAATTTACGTTTATGATGCAAAGATTAGTTTGCCACTTTTCCCTTCGATTTAAAAGAAAAAATAAATGGAATCTAACAGCAGGGTGTCAATTGATTGTTTTTAAAAAGTTTACGTAGTTAATTAAATTTATTAGTTTAGGGGTCAATCTCCAATTAGCTAATCCTTCCGGGGTCAAATGGCATTTTACCCTAATATGTTAATTCCGCAAAGGAGACACGGAAGACTTTCCCATTACTTCATTTCTCCTCCTCCGATTTTATGCTTCTTCTTCTTCGAGAGTACGGCGGATGGGCAGTGGATGAGCTAGCTCAGCTGTTGACTAAACTGAAGAGGATCGGCGGAGCTGCTCGGCCTATCTCCGATCATCTATTCGATTTTCCATTTCTTGGGTTTTCTTCTCCGCCGTCGTCAGCTCCTCCCTCACAATTCTCCGGCAGCTATGAGTGTGGTCTCAGGTACGCTTCCTTCCATGATTTCCATGAAGTTAACTATTTACCACACAATTATTTTACTGGTATTGTTCTCTTATCAAATTTATCCACTCCATAAAAGATGAATTGTTGTACTAGCAAGCAAATCTGATATTATATTTCTGGTTCCACAAATAGTTCTGTCAATAATTCTGTTTCGCGTGTCGTTTGATTATATAGGTAGTCAATTTCGGCCACTTATCGAGTTGGATCAAGGATGGGAATATATATCGAGTATGTTTGCAAAATTAAAGAGGATTTTAGAAGGATTACCGGAGCCTCCGTTCAATCCCGTTGAATATATGACCCTTTACACAACTGTGTACAATATGTGTACCCAAAAGCCGCCTCACAATTACTCTCAACAGCTTTACGATAGGTATAGGGCGGCGTTGGAGGACTACGTAACCACGACTGTGCTGCCATCTGTAAATGAGAAACACGGCGAGCTTATGCTGCAAGAGCTTGTGAAAAGATGGACGAACTATAAAATTATGATTCGGTGGCTATCAAACTGTTTTAATTTTCTTGATCGGTTTTTCATCCCTAGGAGATCCCTTCCTAGCCTGAATGATGTTGGAATTACCTGCTTCCGCGATTCGGTTTATCGAAAAGTACAAGTCAATGCTAGAGTTACTGTAATTGGTCTTATTGATAGTGAACGTGTGGGAGAGCAGATTGACAGAGCACTAGTGAAGAATGTGATAGATTTATTTGTTGGAATTGGAATGGGACGAATGGATGCATATGAAGAGGACTTTGAGGCGCACATGCTAAGACATGCTGGCGAATACTATTCTCGTAAAGCAGCAAGTTGGCTTTTGGAGGATTTCTGTCCTGATTTCTTAGTGAAGGCCGAAGAGTGCTTGAGAAGGGAGAGGGATAGAGTTTCTCATTATTTGCATTCAAGCAGTGAATCGAAGTTGGTGGAGAAAGTGCAACATGAGTTGTTTGAACCGCTTGCTGAAATATTAAAACAGAAAGTTAGTGTTGAAGTAAAATCGTTGGTCCAACAGGCTGAATATACTGCAAGTAACGAGGCTTCAGATAGATCTTCTGCCATGCTGGAACAGGTCCTTGTCACAAACATAATCGAGCTTCATGATAAGCATATGGCGTACTTTAATGATGGCTCAATCAAAAACCATGTCTTCCACAAAGCTCTGAGAGAGGCCTTTGATGTATTTTGCAATAAAGCTGTTTCCGGGTATTCAAGTGCTCAATTACTCGCATCATTCTGTGAAAATATCCTCAAAAAGGGTGGGAGCCAGAAGTTGAGTGATGAGGCCATTGAAGTTATGCTTGACAAGGTTGTTAAGTTTCTTACTTATATCAGTGACAAAGACCTTTTTGCAGAATTCTACAGGAAAAAGCTTGCCCGTCGGCTACTTTTTGATCCGAGTGCCGACAAGGAACATGAAAAAAGTGTTCTTACAAAGATGAAACAACAATGTGGTGGCCAGTTCACCTCAAAAATGGAGGGAATGGTCACAGATCTGACATTGGCTCGGGAAAATCAGACTAGCTTTGAGGAGTACCTTTGCAATAGCCCAAATGTAGATCCTGGTATTGATTTTACAGTCGTCGTTCTTACAACTGGTTTCTGGCCCAGTTATAAAACATGTGATCTTAGCCTTCCTGCAGAGATGGTGAAATGTGTTGAAGTTTTCAAGGGATTCTATGAAAGAAAGACGAAATGCAGAAAAATTACATGGATTTACTCTTTGGGAACTTGCCACATTATTGGAAAGTTTGAGCTAAAAGAAATCGAATTGGTTGTGTCGACTTATCAGGGTGCTCTCCTACTGCTTTTCAATAGCATGTATAGGTTGAGCTATTCAGAAATTCTAAGTAAGTTAAACCTTACCCATGAGGCGGCTGTCAGGGTTCTTCATTCGCTTTCCTGTGCCAAGTACAAGATCCTTATTAAGGAGCCTGATACAAAAACTATATCACCAAATGACAGCTTTGAGTTCAACTCTAAGTTCACCGACAGAATGAGAAGAATTAAGATTCCTCTCCCACAAGTGGAGGAAAGGAAGGAGGTGATCCAAGATGTAGAGAAAGAAAGACGATATGCTATTGATGCAGCAATTGTGCGGATTATGAAGAGCCGGAAAGTTTTGGAACATCGACAATTAGTTACGGAGTGTGTTGAGCAGTTGAGACATAAGTTCAAGCCTGACATCAGAGCGATTAAGAAGCAGATTGAAGGTCTCATCATCCGTGACTACCTGGAGAGGGACAAGGAAGATCGTAACTTGTTTAAGTATCTTGCGTGATTTGAGTCTTTGACTCTTGATATAACTTGTTGGGGTATGCTGGAAGCACAGGAAGATGAAGTGTGTAATGTGTGTGGAGAATTATGTTAATATTGTCATCTAGGCCTAAAGCTGTAGGCTGAGCCTCAGCTTGGTTTTCTATACTAATAACAATGAATATGTATTTTACAGAGAGATTGTCTCTAATAATCGTCGAAGAGTAGGGATTTTCAACTCATCAGACATTTTGCAGACAACATATATAGCATTGTAGCTCACTCTTTTGTTCTTTGGGTTTCTTGGATGTCACTTTTCGTTCTTAGCTCTTTTACAGTCTGCATATCCAACTTGATGCATATTTCTGTCACATCTCAAGTAGAACCTGTTGTGTTTTTGTTCATGTATTTTTCCGATAGACTCTTGCACAATCCTGTAGAGCTTAAATCTGATAATTTCGTGATATAAACAGTCCAACTTATGCCTAAGGAATAAGCTTGTGCACAAAATAGTGTAGTTTGCAATGTAATATTAGCCCTTACGTTTTTAAATCAAATAGAATGTGGGGTGGCCTACCAGCATGTCATGTTTTAATGTGTTCGTATAAATTGAGAGTATCGTCAACCCAAATATATAAACTCAACCTCATGAGCAAATTTGTGTTATGCTGTTTAACC